GTACCACTCATCTCCACTACAAATAGGAAAAAGAGGCTACAATTTGCAAGAGCTCACCAAAATTGGACAGTTGAAGACTGGAAAAATGTTGCCTGGTCTGATGAGTCTCGATTTCTGTTGAGACATTCAGATGGTAGAGTCAGAATTTGGCATAAACAGAATGAGAACATGGATCCATCATGCCTTGTTACCACTGTGCAGGCTGGTGGTGGTGGTGTAATGGTGTGGGGGATGTTTTCTTGGCACACTTTAGGCCCCTTAGTGCCAATTGGGCATCGTTTAAATGCCACGGCCTACCTGAGCATTGTTTCTGACCATGTCCATCCCTTTATGGCCACCATGTACCCATCCTCTGATGGCTACTTCCAGCAGGATAATGCACCATGTCACAAAGCTCAAATCATTTCAAATTGGTTTCTTGAACATGACAATGAGTTCACTGTACTAAAATGGCCCCCACAGTCACCAGATCTCAACCCAATAGAGCATCTTTGGGATGTGGTGGAACGGGAGCTTCGTGCCCTGGATGTGCATCCCACAAATCTCCATCAACTGCAAGATGCTATCCTATCAATATGGGCCAACATTGCTAAAGAATAATTTCAGCACCTTGTTGAATCAATGCCACGTAGAATTAAGGCAGTTCTGAAGGCGAAAGGGGGTCAAACACAGTATTAGTATGGTGTTCCTAATAATCCTTTAGGTGAGTGTATATCATGATATCCTTTAATCAGTGCCTGAAGGTGAGGAACATTCACCCATTTACCTCATTAAAATATACTTACCACAGAAATAAGATTCTATGAAACATTAGAACCTGCAAAAAAAAATATCTGGATATAAATATTACTGTCATACATGTTAAAAACATGTATCCAGTTGCTCCTACTATTCAAACTTTCAGTCCAGGCTGATAACAAAATGAGACCGGTGAGCAGTGTAATAAAGATAATGTCAACAATCTCATATTTCACCTAAACTCAGCCTCCGTCTGGCTGTACGGTACAGGTGAGATTTATTGTCTCACGAGTTAAGACAAATGGACACTCACCTCCGGACGAACACGCACACAGATCACTGAGCCGTGGGACGAAGCACTTTATCAGAGCTGCCTGCCAAGGCCAGCGAGCAGGAAAACTGAGCAAAGAACTGCACTCTGGTCACTGTCAGCCGGTTTGATGGATCACTCGTACTTTCTCTGTTAGCCAATAAGAACTACTCAGACAAAATAAACGTTGGGTGTTCAGGGTGTTCCAACTGTAGATATTATGTCAATACATCTGAGATGTCCTCACATGGTTTGGGCTGCTTTCACTGTGGGAGATAGTCTGACCTGATACAACATGCTGTAATCATGTAGATAGATAGATAGAGACTTTATTGTCATTGCACATAAAATACAACGAGATGCAGTTTAGAGCAAACCATTGAACTTAGCAGCTTCTATAAATAAATACGCCATAAAAGGATTGCATAAAATAAATGTGTGTTGCATGGCAGTTTTTACTGTTGTTAGACAAATGGGTATCATCATTGCTGCGTCATTTCTTACCACTAGGTGGAAGCAAAGCACCATAGATTGTTAATTATTGTGCAGTGGACAACATGACAGGCATACTATAGATCTGTGTAACATACAAAAATAGGCATTTTATAGCTGCGCACATAAAATATTTAATAGACTTTGAATTTTGACATCCTTAATGATTTTGTTTGGAACGTTTGATCCTTGAAATCTCTGATTTTAGTTAATTTACAAGGGATACCATCATAAACAACGGCTACATCATAAAATATGTGATTTATAAAATCATGATTGAATTACTTTTGCAATCCATTTTTAGGATTACCCTTCGACACCTAATAGATGGTGCCATTTTTGTTGGGTATCTTGGTAAATGGGCATGGTAAATGGTATCCAGCAACATGGTAGATCATTCCTGACTGAATGTATGTTCAGAAATTCCCCACAGGGTGGCGCCACTAGCATAACAAATGTTTGTCCTTATTTTTAACCTGCACTGCCTTAAATAATCCGCTGTGTAGGGATTTGATTATTGCAAGAGTACAGAATTAGATTATTAATCAAAAAAAAGCATCAAAGTTAGGTAAAGCAGTGATGTTGATTATGATGGACTTTGCTCTTGAGTAACAAATGAATTGTTTAATAGATACAAATATTTCAAAGGCGATGTGTCGTGTATTTATGTCTAGGCTATTTAACTGTTAATATTAAGTAAATATGCACATCTTGTTGGCTTCTGTTTGGATTAAGCCCACACAGTCAACAACACGCTGATAATGCACAAGTTGTTGCCATCTGAAAGTGAACGTACAGAAACGTCAAGTCTAAAGACATGTATATAAAATATGCTCAAATGGCACATTGTCTCCTCGGGGAGATCTGTACTTCAGGGGTTAGCCTACGTTGGTGATACATTTCATATGTGCGCTTTTGCACTCCACACACCTGTGTATGATGGCGACAAATAGGCCTACGCCGCCCGCTAATGTACTACACCACACCCACAGTAATAGCCTAATGGTCATTTATTATTATGCACACACAATGTGTTTGCATTTCCTCAGCAATTATTTCTCAGGATTAGAAACAGAGTTGAATTTAAAAGATTTAATTATTAATTAATTTAATTTAAAAAAGAGGTGACAAAATGAAGGCAAAAAGATAACATTTCACAACTGTTGTATATCCTACAGGTTGTATGTGTTGACTGTTAAGAGAGAAAGTCCCACACGGAAGCATCTTCGAATATGTAACCTCAATTAGCATAGTTTTATTTGGACATTTCACAGGCGCAGATATGGACATATTCAGGATTTGATAGCCTATTTGATGATCATCACTCCGAGTCTTATTCCAGGGCTGCGATAGTGGCCATATGGGATGTCTCTCTGACTCTCTGCCCCAGCAGTCCTACACAATCGACCCGCCATCTGGCGTCGAGGGGCTGCCGCTGAGCTGACAAATGTGTGCAGGTGACTTCTTAGCTTTAATTCAGAGTCATTACTCGCATTAGTCCTGGAGATGGGTGCAGGCGTTTAATAGTATCAGTCAATCGTTCGGATTGAGTTTGGGTCTGACTGGCTACCCTATGTGTTCAAAAGCACAACTGTGCAAATTTTGCCTCTGAGCCCTCATACACACGCGTTGTTCTGTGACAGGTCATGGCCACATAGCATCTAATAGAGTGCCATAGCAGTTGAGGTTTTGTGCGTAACGCTGTGTGAGTGTACTGATTGATGACACCAATCACAATAGGAGTTGACACATGTTCATGATTTTACCTGTGATATAGGCCTACTCATTTCCACAAACTTTAGTTAGTTGGGAAGTGTATTGTGCACAGTGTGTAAAGTTGTCTTTGGCTTTACCTGGCAACCAAAATAACAACAAAACAAAACAATAAAAAAAACAATGTCGCTACAGCATCCACTCACACTCGCAAATTTGAAATTTGGGCATCTACAACTCCAACAAAATATGGTCCAACTCCATTTGCTGAGGAGAATCGGTGTGATACGACCGAGAGCTCCAGAACAGCTACTAATGGACCTTGGGTGAGGTTGTATCGTCAACTGCTGTTTCCGGCATTAAGAATGAACTTGCAATCCCGACATAAATTCAGTTATCAAGAATGTATGTAAGTAGCCTAAACGTCACCAAGCTGTAGCCTACAGAAAAAAATGTACTTGTGTAATGGAAGAAATACAGCCGCTTTTTTATATTATTTTCGTTTTACCACGCTGCCGTTGTTCTTCTAACGCTTTCTAACAGGCTGTGCAGGTGTGCACATTATCATGGCTCATTGCCTTTCTTTTGTTAACACCTGTGTGTGTAAATCAACATTTTTGCATCTGGACCTTCTGTTTCTTCGTTGATTGTTCTGTTTAGCCAAGTAGAGTCAGTTTCAGTGATAGGATATAAGGAAGCCAGTCTGGTCTGGTGGGACGTCTCTCTGTCTGTCCGCTGATGGGTGCTGTCCAGGGTGCTGGAGAAGTCACAAGTCATTGAGTCTCATTAGGAAGACCAGAAACGAAACTAATTGTATATATTACTGTTTTTGTAGTCTTTCTTCCTGGCTGGCTTGCTTGCTTGCTAGGTGAGTGTGTATATCCAGTGGTGAAATAAGTACTCCTGTCTTTTACATATTAAAAGTAGCAGTACAGCTATGTAAAAAAACAAACAAACAAGTAACTACATTTAATATTCTTTTTAAGTTATACTATCATAGCTACATATCATATTTGAATATTACTGTTAATGCTTTTGCATGTAGCCTATGCAGTATTTTAATTAATACATGCATTAATGTATAGGCTACTTTACTGGTACAGCTGGAGGAGGTGGAGCGCAATTGAACTACTTTATATACTGTTGGATGGTTTAATCTAAAGCACAGTAGCATATTTTATACATTGATAATATGTTTTCTTTGTAAAGTCCTAAAGCTAACTCCAGCTGCCAGACACGTGCAGTATTTCCCTCTGAAATGTAGAGGAGTAGAAATATAAAGTAGCCTATAAAATTGAAACACTCAAGTAAAGTAAGTAGCCTACTTTAAGTGCCATTTAATTGCATTGTGGGAATCTACTTAGTTACTTCCCACCAAGCTATAGCCCATTCGTCTAATTTAAGTTAAAGTCAACTCTGCAAAGGGCAGCTAACATTTTACTTTGCAACAAACAAACAAACTTGAACCAATGTTGATATTAAAGTTGGGTAATGCCTTGCTTTTCTCGGTATCATGTCATCCTTGATTAAGGCTGAATGTAATGAGATCTAAATCCAGTTTCCCAGTTCGTTCTCGCAGGTTCTCTTCCACTAAACGAGCTTAGATTAGAAATATAACTCAAGCCTCCATTTAGATTATCGAGCCCAGCCGTGGTGAGGTGGCGGCCGCTTTAAAAGGAGCTGGCTCCGACGTCAGCGCCGTTTTAGACATGTGGGGTCTGACATCCAATAGCCTGATCGGGGTTTAAATCGGCCCCCTTTCTCACTAGAGATCCCTCCGATGAAGACCAGCGTAGACAGGAGTTAGTCACGGCTGCAAGAACCTCACCAGATACAATTAGGACCGAGATTTCGTCCTCTCGCACACCTGCAGCATCAGTTCATATTCCCAGCTAGAAACCACCGTGTAGCAACCATGTCTGTAGCGGGACTGAAGAAGCAATTCCACAAAGCCACTCAGGTAAGAGGGCACGACGTCCTGAAGACTAGATCTTCATGTTGAAGTGTCAAGTTGTTGGAGAGCAGCGGGCTAGCGTCTGGATAGTAGACAGACCGCTTTACCCATGTTGGTGTTCAGTGAACTCCTCATGTTGCACTCATATGAAGCCGTGTGCTGTAGTCGTGCTCCATCTATTACCTCTAAATCACTAACCCATCGCTGTCCAGGTCCTGAAATATACTGCACTGGAAAACACTGGCGTGGTGCAGCATTGCACCAGTAGAATAATTTATAACTCGTGTTTTGCACTGTAGCCTCCGTTGTAGTTCACTATGGTTATTTGATGCATTACAGGAAGTCACGATAAATATTCAGTGTTATGTTTGTGTGTGTGACCGCCTGGGTGGCAGGACAATGCGATGGTTGTGACGTCTGGGACGTCAGTTCCTCTTGGTACCCTTCAGATGACATTCCGCACAGAAAACCACTAGAGCCGCCGCTCGTGGCAGCCGCTAACGATTGTAATGCGCAAGTTGTTGCGTTAAATGGAGGATGGTTTAAATCAGTGTTTCCTTCAGTGTTTCCTTCAGCCAAAGATGTTATGCAATCGTTAAGTGAGCCTTGGCGGAAATCCGCTCCTACCACCAGCAGCAGCACACCATGACCTCGGCGCCCTCTAAGCGCATTTATCGCCTATTGCGGGACACCAGTGATGAATAACATGTTGCCTTCTTTATCTAATGCGGAATCATCAGTTTATTATTCGATGTAGGCCTAAACGTCTCTGGCCCAATGCATGGCCCATCTTCAGTTAAAGGTTACTCACAAGCTTCCTCTATACATTTCAGCATCTCCGTTATTCTAGCCTACTTCTACAGCCTAAGAGCCTCAGATTTAAAAGTTTAACCATCATTAACTCAGGAGGCCGTCAGAGTGGCGGTCACCAGTGGGATCTTGATGGTCAGAGGTGTGGACAGATCTGTCCCTTCAGCCTTCCGCTATCTCCACGGCTTTGGGTGACTTTTGTTTCTGGTGTAAGCTGGGAGTGAGGGAGGTTGTCCGTTTCTAGGGGTGAGTCACAGTGACACTGACAGTCAGCTTCAGGCCCCATACAGCAGGACGCCGGGAGCCTGGCTGAGTCAAACGCACACATATATCCTCCTCCTTGTTCTCCAGTTCACCCCAAGTCTACAAACGGGCATAGTTACAGCTCCCAGTTTGCATAATTCCTTATGAACAGCTGTCACTGAGATGGGAGGTAATCATGACTTCATTGACACTGATAATAGTGTCTTTTGAAGGCCAGCTCTGTAGATATTGAATTGCATGTTGGACCTGCATAACTGAGACAGCAGTTTGTGATGACAGGAGTTAAATTTATACATTTAACAACTCAGATCCAATGTAGTAATAAAATGGAGTCTAGCATTGTATTTTAAGTCAATTTACCTTTCCATTAGTCATTTATATTATTGTTAATGTCAGCTTGTGTAGAATGTTTAAAGCCAGACACGCCATTGGTCATAGTGAGTTCCCATTGCATTTTCTTGAAGAGCAGCATTTGCAGATCAATGATAAAACAATACCTGGGGGAGTTTCATCATGTTTTAAGGATTAAATAAAGAAAAAATAATTGCAAAAGCTTGTGTTCAGCTGTTAACACACTTCTCATTTTTAATCAAGGGTTCATTTGATCAGACTGGAAGTAGACATCAGCCCACACGGGGCATTAGATGGCTGCACAGATTGTGTTAATTCTGTGTGATGAGTCTATTGTCACCCATTAGCAGAGCCTTCTCTCTTCCCCCTTTCCCTGCAGATGTTCATACAGACCTGTGTGTGTGTGTGTGTGTGTGTGTGTGTGTGAGAGGCAAAGCTGCATAAGAGGATTCATATCTGTAAATATGCGTACAGATGTAGCTCTCAGTGTGCATGCATAAAGAGGTGTGGTTAAGTGTGTAAATATATAGTGAGTACATTTGAATTTGTCGATGTTTTACACTCTTCATTATTCTGTTTTATTCCCAATGCGTGTCAGTCAGCTCTAGGCTTAGTATTAGCTGTCTCTGTGGGCTCATGCTGCGTACACACACACACACAGTTTTCCTCCCCAGACTCTCTGTGGCAGAAGGCTGCTTTCAACCCCTCTGTTCTTGTGCCACAGTTCTGTAATCCAGGCCCAGACTCACAGCAATCTGGCTATTTATACACACACACGCACGCACGCACGCACGCATACACACACACATACATACACACACACACACACACACACACCTTCCAACCAGACCTTAGCAGCACCCCCACCACCAACAGACAAAGAGGGGGTCAAAGGGATTAAGGTATGGGACTCAGGGATTTAAAAGAGTTTAGCAGAATGTATATCACCATTAAAGGAATAGTTTGCCAAGTTAGATAAGAAGGTCGATGCCACTCGCATGTCTGTATGATAAATATAAAGCTACAGTCAGCAGCCTCTTTGCTTAGCTAGCCAGCTCTGTCCAAATCTAACAAAATCAGTTTTATGGGAGCATTATGTGCTGGACTATTTCTTGCTCAGGACCAGTAACGTCCTGGAGTCTTTGCTGATTGCATGGTCCAGCACATAGGTGGATTTTGTTACCATTGGACAGAGGCAGGCTAGCTGTTGTCGCTGTTATTTACTTTACAGAAAGTTGGCACTTTCTCATTGTCATCACTCACGATTGCTAAATCTCTCAAGGTATGGACAGCAGAGGACGAGGCTTCTTCGGCCTAGTATCTGTGATGACCTCAAGATAAAGCAGTTTCATAAATAAATGGAGCCATAATGCCAAATTGGTTTATATGTAGATTGGAACAGATTGCACATCCTAAAATGTAGCATTGACCTTATAGCCCTGTGCGTCACTAAATGCTAATTAGCCGTGCAGCTTTCTCTGAAGTTAAATGTACAGCATCTGCTTTGTGAGAGACAGGAAATCCTCATACGAGGCTTGCAGCATTTCTTCATTTAACTGCCCATAAAAGGCAGAATGCCATGAAGTTGCTGGAATTTTATGAGATTCACACACAAGCACGCTCACACAACCTCAGTTTCACCTTCTCACTTACACCACTGAGTAATTTATTTCCCACAATCACAGTTGTCTCTGATGGAAGACATCACTCACTCACTCACTCACTCACTCACACTCTCTCTCTCACTCACACACACACACACACACACACACCCACACACCCAAGGACATCGGGGCTCAGAGTGGTGCATTAATAATGGGGGGCCATTTTAAAAGAAGGGAAGCAGGGGGCATGAAGGGTAAAACCCAGCAGGTCCACTAGAAATTGCCTTTAAAAAAATATTGATTTATCCAGTGATCTATTACTCATTCTCACCATAGACTATGTTGTAAATTGAACGTGTATTAGATATGAATGCCTTGAGACAGTTTGCACTTTATCTAATTTCTCCTCTTATTATTTTAAGCTAAGACACAATGTTTCTCTCTGCCTTTTTTATGGTGACAATCCCTCATTTATTACGTCACAAGGCGACTGCACTTCTGAGTCACATGAGTCAGAGCAGATGCTACTTTCAGGATGGCTCTGTTCCCATGGAGAGAGTCGTGTTTGTCTGAAGCCGCATCGTTCGTGCCTGCATGCATGTGAACAGGCTAATGTGGTGAGACTTTTTATTTGGGGCTACTCAACTACTGGTTTAAAAAAAACTGCATGGTGCATCCTCACAGTCCTGCTAGTTATATTTTAATCAAACCCCAGTTTTTATGTGTCTTAAGGCTGCAGAGAGCATATATTATCTCAGTGGAGTGAGTGTGTGTGCTGTCAGCGCAAAGACAAAAATATGTTCATTAAATAGAAACTGCAGGAGAGGGAGGGAGAAGATGGCAAGAAGGCTTGAGAAAGCGTGCCAAAATAAGTATGAGAGGGGCAAAACAAAAAAAGAAGAGTCTTAAGGGTGTTTGGTCTTGCAACTTTTCCAGATAAAATGGTTGCTTTGCTTCTTGTCAATGTCAGAAAGAGGATAAGTTTCCTCACAAGTTTGGCTGCTTCCAAATGCACATTATATATAAATCCATTGAGTCTAAAGCTATTTACTGTTCTTTTTTAAGTGTCAGGTTAGTGAGTTTGAGATTGAATTTTAACAGAGGTAAAATCATAGATATGATTTACGTGATCCTTTTTGTCAAAAGAAGAAAAAAATATATATATTGTACTAAATATACTTCTAGTTACTGAATTCTCAGCTATATGCAGATCAACACCATATGGGCTATAATACTGTCATTAACAACAATAAAATATATCATAATATTAAAATATGCAATCTAGGCTAATCACGTTGAGGAGTTGACAAAGACTGTTACTTCAGTATGTCTTCAGTAATGCTTGATTTTGTGTGAACACCATTTACATTTCTTTCAAAATTGAGATACTCTGTTTTGTAATAAGTACACACGAAAATTTACTGGCAGCAAAGATTAGAAACAACCTCAATGAAAGAAAATGGCTCTGTGTTACACTGGTATTATTATTACTCATGCATTAATGTAAAATCAGGATTTTACTGTTGTAGTCGGATCAAATCTTATCTAATCTAATTTGTATGTGATTATTATTGATTATCTTCACTAAGAAGAAAACCACACAATTGATTGAAAATACAGACCACAGAAATCATCCAGAGCCCAAAGTGACACCTTCACAATGTTTAGTTTTGTCCAACCAACACACTTTAATAGTATTAAAGACAAATTAAATTATTAAAATAAATAAAAGGGGAAAACAGCAACTCTTCACATTTGAGAAGCTGGACCCATGAAATGTTTGGCATTTTCGCATGAAAAATGACTAAAGGATTATAAAAATAGTAAAATAACAGCAAATTCATTTTCTGTCAATAAAATAAATAAATCATTTCGGCTGCACTTTTTTACATGTTTTCTGTAAAAATCTGTCAGACGCAGTACAGTAAAAAATACAATATTTCCCTCTGAATTGTGGTGGAGTAGAAGTATAAAGTG